AAAAAAAAAAAAAGAAAAAAATGAAAATTAGTCACTATTGCACTCCATCCCACAAGGATTTGGGAAGTGAAAAATTTTCCAAAGAGAATTATATAATTTCCACAAAAAGGCATGTTTTCCTATGGAAAAATGTAACATAGCCCTATCAAATGATCTTGTTGTCAACTTGTCATATTGCACCATCATAAATTCATAGTCATACTTCTTTTTTAAGTTGATATATTGTGTTAGGTCTTTAAAATCGGACTAGTGATTGACATTGGCTGGACTCGGAGTAATGGGGTCACCGGTTTAACCATCAATTCACGAGATCAGTTGCTGAAACGAGTAATTAATTTATAAAATTTTAAACTATATTTATATTATATTTGGCTCATAAAAATACATAAAATAACAAAATAAATTATTTATATGTAAATTTTGTACCCTAGAATCTTAATAAAATTATACTTTTTAATAAATATTTATTGCGTAAATATACATAAGCGTAATTATATTTTTAAAAAATAAAAGATAGCAATAAATAAAAAATCATACTGGTCGGGTCAAAACAAGTTGACCCAGACGGGTCAATAATCAGGTCGAGCGACCGTGTCAAGACTGTGTTGGCCAAGTTTTGACGGGGTCCCTTGCTTACTCAGTCCCAACAGCCCATCTGGATCGATCTCGACCATGAGTGAAGCAGGTCAGTCCAGGTCCCAAAACACTGATTAATTCGACCTAATCATTAAGCTGGTATGTTTTTTTTTATACAAATATGCATATACTGAAAAAATATCATAATCTGTAAAGCAATATTAATTGAAGTATGTCATTTAATAATATAAATACTCTGATTGTACCTTTTTTTTAACATAAATATGTATATTTTATTACAAATTCATGTTATTTAAAACAATATAAATTGAAGTATGATATTTGATAATATAAGTCCACATTTTTATTCAAACGTTAATTTGTGGAGCATGATTATATCAAAATTAATACTGCTGCACTAATGTGCATACAATTTGACATAAGAATAATGTTGTAAATAGATGATACTTCAAATATGGGTTTGTTTACATGCCTTCAAAAGTCAAAAGGCACACTCGTTATTTATTGTTAGTTAAGAATTAGGGCAATCACATTCAAGTAATATTTTTTGTAGTATGGGACATTTAAACTTTTGATTCACAATGTTTTTTATGTTACACCTAACTTGAGTTGATCATAACAATAAATAAATATATATATATATTTTTTTTTTAAAAAAGAATCATATTATAACAAAATATTTTTATCATAAAAATTCACTTAATTTTTAAATGGCAAAAGTCGATAAGTATCTTATATTTTGCTTTTTAAAATGACAAAAAAAAAAAAAAACTTTTTGGTTAATAAATAGTCCTAGTAATTAACATAGGAACCCTAAGTCATGCTTGAATTTATAACTAGTATTCGACCTGTGAATTTGCACAAATATAAATAAAATATTGCGAGTTATTTGTATGACCAAATACAAATATAAAAGTTCTTATACCTTTAATGATTAATGATCTTTCTTTTACTTTTTTGCAGGCCAAATTTACAATTAAAGGAGTTGAAATATTTTTTTTAAATTGCGTGTATTAGATTGGATGTAATGTATATTTTGGTACGTATTTTTTTTGTAAATTATTTTTTATTTATTTAGGAATTTCAAATACATTTTTGGTTCTCCAAAAAAATTAATTTACATGTAACCACAATCATAACATCTAATCACATTATACGGTCAACACATTATATGGTCAACTGTCAGTAATCAAAAGTTTAAAATAACTTTTGTAATTTTAAAGTGATTAATGTGTTGATTATTTATAAATTAAATGAAAGGTTAAATAATCAAAAGTAACGGTTTTTGGAGGGAAAATATTAAAATTGCCACATAGGT